CTCGGAGGCCCAGCTCGCCGACGGCGCGGGCGACGGGTCGCCCGCCGCCGCGTTCATGAAGGAGAACAGGCTTCCGCCTCCCGGCCGCCGGGCACCCTCGAGCCCCCTCGAGGACCTTTCGATCTTCGACCCTCCTCCTCGATCATCTTCCTCCTCCTCCTCCTCCTCCTCCTCCTCCTCCTCCTCCTTCTCCTCCTCCACCTCCTCCTCATCCTCTTCTGCTTTCCTCCTCTCTACCTGCTCCTGTTTCCTGCTCCGCCTCCTCCTCCTCCTCCTCCTCCTCCTCTTCCTCCTCCTCCGACTCCTCATCCTCCTCCTCATCATCCGCCTCCTCCTACTTCTCCTCCTCCTCCTCCTCCTTCGCCTCCGCTTCCGCCTCCGATTCCGCCTCCTCCTCCGCAGCGGCCTCCTCCTCCGCAGCCGCCTCCTCCTCCTTCTCCTGATTATCCTCCTCCTCCTCCTCCACCTCCTCCTCCTTCACCTCCTCCTTCTCCTCCTCCCCCTCCTCCCTGTCTCGATCCTCATCCACCTCCCCTCCCTATCCTCGATCCTCGATCCCCCGCCGAGGCAGCGGCGCTCGAGACATTCTCCGGAGCCGCCGGATCTCAGAGATGCTCGACTTATCCGACTTATCCCCACCCGATTGGGCACAAGGGTACCCTCGATTTGGCAGGGTCGACCTCCTAGGCAGGGCCGCATGCAGGGCTCGGACTCCGCCGCCGGAGCACGGAGCGGATCGTGGCCTTCCGACGGCGCGGGCTCGCTCGACGTCCGCCGCTTCGAAGCCCCGCCGGTGGCGTGCAGCCTTGAGAGCGCCTGCGCAAGGCGAGCGCCCCCGCGCCGCCGCGCCGCCGCCGCGGCACGGCGGCGTGCACGGCGTTGGGTCGCGGCGTGCACGGCGGTGCGCGCAGCCGGCTCGAGGATCCCCCGGACCTGCGGAGGCGCCCGCGTGCCTGCCCAGCGAGGCGCCTTCCGTGCGGCGCAGGCGGCGCAGCGAGGGCCTGACACGGGCCGCGCGCTGTCGGCGGAGCCGAGCGGGGCACACACACACACACACACACGCCTGGGCTGACAATCGACCTGAGGATCATCGACGAGTGTGCGCGGCGGTGGGCGCGGTGCGCGGCGCGGTGTGCGCGGCGCGGCGTGCGCGACGCGGCGTGCACGGCGCGGCGTGCACGGCGCGGCGCGCACGGCGCGGCGGGCACGGCGGTGGCCCGGAGGAAGTGCGCCCCGCCGCCGCGCGGGGGGGGGGGGGGCGCACGGCTCACGCCGCGATGGCGTCGGGAGGCTCACGTCGCGAGAACGTCGGCGTTGGTCTCTGACACAGCGTGGATCGTTCAGCCTCGAACGATCTCGGCAGTCTTTGGCGGCGCGCACGAGGTGGGAGGGGGAGGGACGGCCTCTTAGATCCAGGATGCTTCCTAGAAGGCGTCAGCCCTGTATCTACAGATGTAAGGTTCGCGCCCTCTGAGAAGCAGGGGATGCTTCTGAGAAACCTCCCCCCCTTGCCCCGAGCCCCCTCTGCGCGTAACCGATTCCTGGTACAGTGAACCCTTATCATAAGGATGCGCGATAGGGCTGCCAGGGCCTCGGAAGGCCACGTCAGCACTTTGCGAGCGGGACGCGGCCAGCGAGAGCGGCCAGGCATTGGCCGAAGGGAGAAGGATGCAAGGGCACCCATGGACAGTCACTCATCCTTCCTATGCGGGTCGACTGTAGCGTTAGGTCGGGCGTGTCACCCTACGGGCAGATTCGGGGCGAAAATTCAAGATAAGCTCTAAAAATACCCTCTGCATAGTCAAAAGATCATCCTCAAAAATCAGTCCCCAGCTGTTCTTTCGCTGGTTTTGAGCACTCCCCCTGTAGAGGGGCACGCCCGAAGAAACTGCAGCGCAGATCGCTCGCGGCCGCTCGCGGCCGCTCCGCCCGGAGCGGCCCCGCCGTGCAGCCCCCCGAGGCGCGGGGGGCACGCGCAGTCCGCCGTGCGGCTCTGGCGCCGGAGAGGTGCAGTCCACCCGTGTTAGGAGGATGCTCGGCAAGGACGCCTCCTCCTCCTCCTCCTCCTCCTCCTCCTCCTCCTGCCTCCTCCTCCTCCTCCTCCTCCTCCTCCTCCTCCTCCTCCTCCTCCTCCTCCTCCTCCTTTTCCTGCTCCTCCTTTCCTCCTTCCTCCTCCTCCCCATGTGCCTCCTCCTTCCTCCTCCTCTTCCTCCTCCTCCTCCTCCCTCCTCCTCCTCCTCCTCCTCCCATGTGAGCGTGTTTTCGAACGAGGCTGGCCTTGAAGGCACATGTTCGGGCGTTGGCAGGACAGGGCTTCGTGGGACCTGGTTCAGAGAGGGGAACTGGGGGACGCCCTGCCCCCGCCCCGGTCCACAAACCGGAACTCCCGTCACCCCCAAAAAAAGCACCAGCTACGGCAGAGCTGGTGTAGTGATTCTGGAGAATGTCGGGGCGCCTCCTCCTTCCTTCTCCTCCTCTTCCTCCTCCTCCCTCCTCCTCCTTCTCCTCCTCCTCCTCCTCCCTCGTGAGCGTGTTTTCGAACGAGGTTGGCCTTGGAGGCACCTGTTCGGGCGTTGGCAGGACAGGGCTTCGTGGGACCTGGTTCAGAGAGGGGAACTGGGGGACGCCCCGCCCCCGCCCCGGTCCACCAACCGGAGCTCCCGTCACCCCCAAAAAAGCACCAGCTACGGCAGAGCTGGTTGAAGGGGCCCCAGGACACACAAATAAATACACACAAATAAAAATATTCCCCATATTTTCCTATATTTTCTGGGTTTTTGTCTTCCCCCCCACTTCCCATATTTTCCCATATTTTCTTGGAAATCGACGATTAATTGTGTCTGTGTGTTTCTTTCCCTCCTGAATTCTGGAGAATGTCGGGGCGCCGGGGCACAACTATCCCCTTACCTGGGGCCCTCGCTGCACCCGACATGTAAGCGCGGTTCGAACGAGGTCGGCCAGCGCAACTCACCAAGGATGGCCCCCAAAAAACAAAAGAACAGGGATACTCCAGATTTCGTAATAAAGGAAGGGGGGTCTCATTTCGGGGGGGGTCTCTTCCAGGCTATCTTGGAGGGCCTGGGGGGTCTGGGGACGATGTTTGGGAGGGTTCTCCCACAGGGAAGGTCTGAAATGGCTTGTCTTGGAGGGTCCAGACCCCCTCGCTTTTATTACGAAATCTGGAGTACCCTTAGGGAGGTTGCCCATCCTTGCCATGCGGGTGGACTGCAGCGTGCAGCATCGGCCTCCGAGGAGCACGCTGTCCTCGTGGGGCGATCCGCCCTCGCGGGGGCCCCTGCTGCGCAGGCCGTCCCCCTGCGAGGGCCTCGTGGGTGCACGCTGTCCCCAGGGCAGGCCCGCGGCGCCACGACGCGTGCTGCCTTGCCATTGCAAAGTGCAAGTCCTGAGCCTCGCGAGAAGGCACAGGACGCGGGCCGCCTCCTTCCACGAGGGGGCCCATCCCCAATCAGGAGGCATGAGATGCCAACGCTGCACTTTGCAGCACTGTGCGCTGGCTGAGAGCAAGAACCGCGCTGAACATCGTGGGGGGGAGGTGGGGGGGAGGGGAGGAGGTGGGAGGGCAGGTGGAGGGTCGAGCCAGGAGGGGAAAGGGAGACGTCGGGGACACGAGTGGGACTCTACTAGGGGGTGGAGAGGAAGGAGAGGGCAAGCAAGGTGCACTCGCATCACGTCCGACATCCTAGCCACTCCTGTCCCTTCCCATTGACCTGACATCGTGTCTGCATCCGCAGACCGCAGTGTCCTAGAGGACCCCGCTCCTAAACATGGCGCTATATGCTTTGCTATCAGAGAGAAGGGCGTTGTACTTTGGAATGGGAGGAAGAGGAGGATGCGGCGGATGAGCTACAGTGGAGGCCAGTCCGCAAGAAACCTTCCACAAGAAACCCAACCCTGAGACCCCAGGACGTCCATAGATTTCTGGTGTGGGAACACCGTGATTTCCGTCGCAAAACCATACCCAAGAAACCCAGGGCACCCTGAACGCAGGCAGGGTGTTTCTTGGCATTGGCCTCCTTTGTAGAAGATGATCAGAATCCCACCAGCCCTCTGGGCGTCGGTAGTTTAGAGCGTTTCCTCTTCCACCCCTCCTTCTTCCCCTTCGGGGAGGGGTTTACCCCTCCTCCTACCCCCTCCCCACTGACCTGGACAGGGGGTTCCGCGGCGCGTTGAAGCGCCCAAGATGGCCCAAGACGGCTCCAAGAGGGCCTCAGGGAGCCCAAGATACCCTCCAAGATGGCTCAAGATAGCGCAAGATGCCTCAAGATGGTCCCCATGATGTTCCAAGACGTTCCACGAACTCTCCAAGACGGTTCCAAGTGCCCACAAGAGCATCATTAGGATGCATCCAAGAGGCCAAAATGCTTCAAAACCCTGGGGAAAATCAATGTTTTTGGTGTTCTCACTTGTTCGCTTGCGATGCACATCCGACGCGTCAAGATGGCTCCAAGATGGCTCAAGATAGCTCCAAGAGGGGCCCAAGAGAGCCTCAGGATGGCTCCAAGAGCGGCCGCGAGCGCTCCAAGAGCGATCCAAGAGGGGTCCAGGAAGCGATTTTGGGAGTTCCTGGGGGGGGCTGTAATTAGGGAGCCCCACTTCCTTGGCCGATGTCCCCAAAAATTCCCCAAGATGGCCCCAAGAGGCCCCCCCAGAGGCCCCCAGGAGGCCCCCAAGAGACCCCCAAGAGGCCCCAAGAGACCCCCCAGAGGCACCCAAGGCCCCATTTTGGCCTCCTGAGGGAGCAAAGATGGCCCCAAGAAGCGCCCAGCAGGCCCCCAAAGGCCCCAAGATGGCCCCAAGAGGCCCCAAGAGGCCCCCAGGAGGCCCCAAAGAGGATCCCGAACGGCCCACAGAGGCCCCCCCGAGGCACCCAAGACGCCGAAAAGCCCCTCAGGACGACCCTCTACTCGCCTGGGCGTCGTTTCTGGACGGGCTGGTGGGAGTATTTTTTTTTACAGCCGCAGGCGGAAGCGCCGGCGGCGGGAGGTCACGGTCGGGCTGCGGCCGTGACGAATTACCCGGGCGCGCGCGGGGGCCGCGGGTCAGGCGGCGGTGCAAGCAGCAACCCAGGGCGTCTGAGAGGCCAGGCGGCAGTGCAAGCTGCAACCCAGGAAGTCTGAGGGGTCAGTCACCCAGGAAGCAAGGCGGACGCAACCAAAATGGCGCGCCACACATCCCCAGTCATGGATCGTGTCGGATCGACAATCGCGCTGGTGGGGATACGCGAAGCGTCTAGAATTTCTTGGCTCTCCCGTCCAGCCTCTCAATCCGTGCCTCGTCCTCTGGGTTTACAAAAAAGGTGCCGGCCAGTACAACGCTTCTTAGAAGACCTCTTGGCGGTCTGGGCATCACTTCCTCTTCTGCTCCTTCTCCTCCTCCTCCTCCTCCTCCTCCTCCTCCTCCTCCTCCTACTACGACTACTACTACTACTACTACTACTACTACGACTACTACTACTACTACTACTACTACGACTACTACTACTACTACTACTACTACTACTACTACTACTACGACTACTACTACTACTACGACTACTACTACTACTACTACTACTACTACTA